ACTCCAACCGCGTCGTTTCGCATTTCTTTTTTAGACCACCTATGAGGAATAGACCGTAGATCTTCCGTAGTTATTCGTCGCCCGTACATCTTGACGTAATTCTGTTTTTTCGTATAAATCCCCTTCCTGCCCCGATGTCAACTAACGATTCCTCACATAGAACGACGTATTTCCTACATGAAAACGATGACTACGCTCCATGGATCACTTAGCTATACGGTAAACCCTATCCACATAACGAACCGTCACTTGTGCAGAGGACACTGGAAATTTCGGTATCTACAATAGTACATTATTTAGTTTGGCATTTATTATCACAATTTACCTGCTTCCTTTAGAACCTCCTTTTTGTTTGTCGATGGACGCAGCAGTACTTGATGTAGTAATATGGGACTCCTGGGGGAAGTTCCCGTCCATATTCCTTCAGCCACGCGGCCCGAGTTCTGGAATCATAAATATAAAATTGAGTGCACGTAGCTAATTGGAAATCACGAATATCCTCAGAAAATTGATTCAAAGACTTATATGAGTCATCTATCCAACGTTTGAGATTGGAAGAATCGTCCACAGACGACAACGATAGCTGACCAGTATGCTTCATAACGCAGAAATCACAGCGCAGAAATGCGGTGAAGCAGCCATATTGGTTGCTTTTATATCGGTTGACCTTTACCAATTTACAGGAGAATATATGTAAGATACACGTATATACATTCTGGACCTTGTACATTTCCCCTTTTAGTAACCAATCTAGGAGATCAATTCTACAATTGGCTTTGGAGATCAATTCCGTTGTACCGTGTGCTATTCGATTCGAAGTTGTTCTATTCCGGAGATTGGTATTGCGCGAATTTTGGAGCTCCATTTCGAATACTATTCTCAATACTACAGTAACTCACTTCATTTCATTTTGGACACCAATAGTGGGGAATCTCTAATTACTGTTCATGATTTAAAACGATTTGCTCCAGATGCCAACCTCTAGCCGTCCACTGTGATGTATTTGCCTGTAGAAGATTCACCGCCAAAGAACCTGTTCGGTTAATTGACTTGATAAAGGCCTTCCAAGAGGGTCGAAACGTCGTCACCAAAAAATAAACTTGTTTTTGGTTTTTCATCGTCATGGCTAATCCAAACGTTTTCCTTCACGGATCTAATAACCTGTTCTCTACCTTGTGTGTTCTTCTTACAATGTGTAGGGATGGCTTATTCAGGCAAAAATATCAATCTTTTATCGCCCGAAATGTGCAAACATTCAGTCTGCCATAGTTTACATTGCTCAGCAGGTTCATCCACTTCAAAGACAAGCGAGTTTAGATAAACGAATTACAGATTACAGATGATTAACGAACGCCTCTGGAATTCTCAGTATGGTCGGAGGTGGGTGTCTAGGGCCACGGCTGATCACCCGTCCTTTGCACCTCGCGAAATGCTCCTATACGACCAAGCGTCTCAAATAGCCCCAGCTGAGGAAGTAATACGCACTGCCTTCTCGGGGTGGAGGTGTTTTTGCACGGAATTGAGAGGACGAAAATCGGACATCCTGGGCTATAACCGCGTTGGTGAACCATTGGCAGTTCACCTATGGGAGTCGGCTAGAAGCCCTGATCCCAAACCAACCACATCCACACCTTTCCGATTGTGGCAATGGTCACCGGCTCGATTGGGCACCTTGGATGTTTGACTCCGTCCGAAGGACGTATGATCCGATGAACTGGACACCGGCTCTCAGTGGACTGCGATTTTCACACACCGTCCCGCTGTCTTGCGGATCGGGTTTTGGCTAGTCGAAGCTCCGATTGTGGATTCCCCAAGAAAATTCACCTGCTCTGGCCTGGGCAATCTGGCAGTACTTCGCCCACATGCAAATCATGGAACGTTTTTCTTTTTGTAAAGATTATTCTACCATGATTTGTTTGGCACCCAGTCTGGCCTTAGACGTATGTGAAATATAAACATTATAATAATGCCAAAAACAAGGCTTTGGTGATGTTTTCAGCTGATTTTTATTGCTCGGAAAATGAAAGTATGAGAAGCAAATAGATGAACCATGTGGCAGGCCAGATACAGTGGAGTAAAGGCACCAAAATACACACCCCACGTATGAGCACACACAGAGAGATAAACAGTTGAATGATGAGGAATAGCCCATGGAACAAAATGACCGGATAAAGAAGGCTTCTTCCTTTTCCTAAAGTAGTTATGAATAAATGAATGAATTCTCTGAATCACGATGTAAAGGGTTTAACGGAGTTGTTTAATGTGCGATCCCGTATCACCGGTTAACAACACACAGTGCTGATAGACTGCTTGAATGCAGATTCTCGTGCCGATCACGGTACCCGCAACGGGCTGCATTTGTCCACCCCGGGTTGAGGAATTTGTGGCGATTGCGGATTAAATCCCGGGTTCTCCACCTCTCGACCGTTTTCCTTCGTGTTGACAGGGAAAGAAGGGGGAAGAAGGACATCGAGATATGCAAGGATTGCATAGTCGTACAAGTGTTACATAAACAGGCCAGAATGTGAGAGAAGATACATGCAATCAGATCCCTGAAACCAAATCCCAGAGGTTTCCTTCTGCTGAGTGCTCTTGCTTCAAAATCCTGGTATGATCACATAATAACTACGACAATAAACCTTAAGATTGCACCAAAGTTCACTCATATTACTGAAACAAATGAAAGTTTCAATT